CGCAACCGCACCCAAAGGCCGCAGGTTTATAGCCCGTTCCCTTGCCTTAAATGGCCGGGACTGGGCGGACGTCCGCAACGCACCTTTCCTGAGCCCTGCCCCCTTCCACACCATTTACGTACTCGAACGTCTCACTCTCGCCCCTGTCTGTACCCTGGCACATCCCCTTGCACCATCCCTCATTGACATCTCTCCCACCACACACCCTTAAATTGCATGAGCATCCTGCTTAACTATGTCCCGCCGACCTCCATCATCACCTAAGTAGACAACAATGTATTTACTGCCTACCATGAGGCTCGGCCTCGCAGGGCAATAAACGGGATCTAGAAGAAGAAGAAGAAGAAGCTCCTGTCATTCACGCCCTACGCAACTTGTGCTGCGATGTGAAGCCTTCCATCGGTGAGTCGAAGATGTCATATTTGTCCTACTCCTGGTCTATCTTTTGAGCCGCAAAATGGTGTATGCATCTGAAATATATCGAAGTGAGTCCGGTTCCAACGAGTAGCTATGGTAAGTCAACGTCGACGGACGGGGATGGCTTCGATTCGTTGGTATGCATCACTGTCACGGCATATGTTCTAGCGTCGTATCTCACTCACTCACATGGTAAGGGCGCATCGTGGCATGTGAATGAGAATCCAAGTCGCTCACATTGGATCGAGATTCATCGGTGTATTCAAATCATGGATGTAGTCTGTGCCTCTGTGCAATGAGAATATATTTCTGTTTCTGTATATAGTTACGGGATGCTATGAAAATTTGAGGGCATGCTCCCGTGGCTCGTAAGTGATCAGCGGATGCTCGCGAGTACTCGCCAAGTCTTGCAGGGCGGTCGTGCTTACTCGTGAGAAGGCTGGGGGGGGGGTCTACTCGAGAGTACGACACAAGTGATTTTCACTGATGAGGTTGTCGCCAACTGTGCACTAACAGCTGATTAATCCAAAGTATGCCAGAGTCGTGATTATAATCGCTGCGTATTGCACGCGCTCAGGGGGCTGTCGCTCATTCAGATTTTAACCTGCCGACCTGCCTGAAGTCGAAGACGCTCCAAGGAGTACGGACGCTGGGCCCAATTTGCGAGGAGACTTGACGTGCTCCCAGTACAGCTTCGAGAGGCTACCAGAGATGAGGGTGCGGAAGTCAAGGGCGAGCATATAACACATTGACAACAACGTTGTGACAAGGCCACTACATGATTTATCGTGCTATAATTTGGGATCGTTTCTCAGCGGTCCAAGAACTTGCGATACGGCAGGGAATTGTGTCCTCGCGACTCGTCCGACGAAAGCCGCTGCCTTATAGGTTCCCCTGCGGCTTAGGCACGGACAATCAGCCACAGCTGATTGACGTTTGTGGACTGTTTGCCTTCGCCAGTGACGACTTGGAGAACTTTTCCCGCAGTGCCATCTCTGCAGTGCCATTGAATGTTCAGCGTCAGCAGACCACAGGTTGGTAGACAATTGGGAAGGTACGTACCCGCCCGGCAGATTCACGTAATGTTCTGTACCCATGCAATGTCGTCAGCTGTATGTCCCATTACAAACCTTATTCAGGGAGCGATATGTGCTTACTGCCGGTGACCGCGTTGGAGATGCTGTCCCATATAGCAGCCATTGTCAGCAGTGAGATATGGTAAAGTGAACAGAGAGAATCAGACGTACACATAGGCCTTGGTATCGTTGTGGCGCGTGATGGTCCAGCGTTGGCTCTTGCTGTCAGCCAGCTTCTGGAAACCGACAATGTCCACGTTGTCCTTCACATTGCCTACAGGCACACGCCATCAGAGTGTGCAAGAATGCCAGCGGAGTCGGGATCCCTACTAGCGCCGCCCAATACGTCCATGAAAGTGCCGCTCTTAGCGTTCTGGAGCGTGTACTGGTGACCAGGCGCACCCGAGACGCGGCTGATAATCCACAGCGATGCAGGCACAGAGACGTTGTCAAGCTCCCGCTTCGGAGCACTCACGACCCTGGTGCCTAACGAGAGCAGAGGGCAGAGTCAGCGAATGAACGGTAGCAGGATACATCCCGGAAACCCAATGCATACTGTCTGCACTAGAACCTATGCGATACAACGTCGCGGTAAGTGGCAATACGAGAAGGTCGAGACTTATGACAGACCATCCTTGAGCTCGACAGCGGTGCCTGTGCCGAAGTTCTGGATGAAGTCTGTGGGGGGATGTCAGAGACCCGGTGAGGACAAGGGAGGGTGAAGTACAACTGACAGACACCGTTCTCGATGTTCAATGTAGCCATGGCTGTGAGCTTGGATCTGGAAAGAGTAGAAGATGATGCGATGAGAGGTGAGAGGTGTTGGGGCCTGAGGTCCTGGCTTTCATTCGCAGAGCCTTTATATGACTAGAGAACTCCGATCGTTCGCGCATTACGTCAGATAATGTACCGCGAGATGGGATGGAGAGAGGGTCACTTCGACACTACCCCTCGCCTCTACTTCTGTGTAATACCACAGAACTGTCAATGATCTATGGTTTGCATTAGCTTGCACTCAAACTCCGCCGATCCAGGATGTGCCGCAACTGACCTGGCAATCAGCTGCCGCCGTCCCGAGGGACCCATGTACGTTGGACCGTCATGTTAGCCGCTGGCATGGACCGCTAATCCGTCCGGCGATGGAGCATCTCCGTATTTGCAGACATTGCATTTCGCAGAAGATTCAGGGTCGAGAAGAGTGCTGTCCGGAGAACAATATAGTGAAGAGAAGGACAAGGAAATGCCGGAGATTCAGCACCGCGTCACATTGCATCTTCTCCGAAATAAAGCACGCGATCGTGGACTCGTGCACAGCGTCACTCTCGCGCCATCCCAGTATTGCGATAGGTCTTTCGACCGCAGGAGCGCCCTTTTCTTATAGCGCAGTGAATTGTGAGCTAGAAAGGACCGGTAATTGTCGGTACAAACATGCCGTTCGTGACCTGTTCAAGATTGAGGACGCAGGATATACTGCCAAACACGACGGGATACTACCCGCTGCCATACACCTCATGCCTGGGGAGTTCTGATGAGTCT